GCAGCTCTCCACCGCTGTATGTCTCTCCTCCGAGCAGGAGCTGTGCCACGCCCATGGTGAAACACTGCTGCCTGCTGGGCTGAGCTCCTGCACACAGAGCTCAGTGGAGTGGAGGAGAGACAGACAGCAGAGAAAGTTGACAATACCTCGACTGCTAAGAACTTCACGAGTAAAACACTTGTAAAACAGATTATGGATCTAATCTGGTCATTATAGCCGATATCAAACAGTTAAAAAGTGCCTGGATCGGCCACGATACCAATCTACATCAGACTGGGACCTCCCTACTGCAGCATCTTACAGGCCGTACCTCAGGAGCAGCTGTAGGAGTTTTCAGTGGCTTCTCTGTCACAGCACTCTTCTCTGTTGTGATGTTGCCTGCTGAGTTGAACACAGGATTCACGTTAGAAATACAAAAACATGGTATGTAAAAGGAGGATTAGCAAAAACCTTAAGAAAACAACTCTTTGTGTCAACACACAGGGAAAAAAACTATGACTTACTCTGGGGTGGCAGTTTCTTGATGCGCAGTAGGCGTGGTTTCTTAGCACCAGTCTCCTCAGTATCAGAGTTCTTCTTGTTTTCAGCCTCCAAGGCCTGCTGAACCTGAATCCTTGCTGCCTTCTCCCTGCGGATCTCCTCCAGGGTCTTTACTCGAACGCGCCCCACATTGCCAGAGTCATTAGCAGGTCCAGCTGTGTCAGACTCTCCCTGGTTTTTGCCTGGAGCTTTCTCCACAGTGTGCTTGGCCTTCTTAGGGCTGGGGTTCTGCTCTTGCTGCTGCTCCTCCTGTCTTTTCTTCTTGTCATGAAGGATCTCAGAGAACGTTCTGATGTGGTTGATGGAGTCGTCCTTGACGGTGATGGCTCGCTTGACACCCTTGGTGGTCTTTGTGGTGATAGTTTTGGTTGAGCTGATTTCTGGAGCCATGACTGAAGGGCTGTCTTCTGACTGAGACTTTGCTGCCTTCTCCTGTTTGATCTCCTCTAGGGTTTTGATGCGGATCTGCTCAGGAGCTTTCTTTGATTCTGTGTTGGTCCCAGCTACTGGGAAAGATAGGAAACAATAGACAAAGGTTTAATCAATGTGCAAGATTCATATATTTCCAGACAAAATACTGGACAATGTTTACTTCCCATATTCTTTTGACGTCTTACCTGGTTGAGCAGGTGCAACAGACCCAGCAGACAATCCAAGTCTTTCCTTAATAGGCTTCAAAGCTGCAGAGGAAAGGTAAATGTTTAAGCAGACATATTATCTTTCTACCTTAAGATACATCATCTAGCATCAGCATGAAGTTGAGTAAAAGGCTACAGGTGATATATAAAAGTTGATGTGTCCTGACTCACCTTTCTGAGGGGGCATTAAAGGCTCTTCCTCATCCACAACTCTGCCCAGACGCTCTGCCAGACTCCTTTTCAGTGGGACATCTACAGCAAGGACAGCAAGTCATGAGCTGTACTCTTAACATTATTATCACTACTGGAATGAAATCTGTTAATACAAATTAAACAAGAATGAAAACGTACCTGTGTTGGGCACCTTCCTTCCAAGCCTTTCTGCCACACTGCCTCTTGGTCGCACGGTTTCTTCAAGGACAATTTGGCCTAGGTTAAAAAAAGGACCATGTGCTGGTTGAGAACAGGGTAATTATAATTTGACTTCTCTTTAGGACAGAAACAATTACTATGCTTTTAGTTCATTTCAGCTTGACACTAATTTCTCAAGTGGGGAACATTCAGACCAGATATCTTAGAATGGTCAATCCATGTTGCACCTCATCAGTGAGAAACAAATTAGTTCCAATTGACTCTTTGTAGGTCCCACCCCTTTTTTGCTCTACGTCCAAAAACAGTTCAGCAAGCCTCTGTCAATTTCCTCCTTTCCTTCGTTAGATATGCTATGTGCTAGGCTAATCTATGTTGAAAGACAACCACATTTTAAAAATGGTTAAAAAGTGAAAAACAACATATATAGTCAAATCTTAAGTAAGCAAATGTTAGCAGAACATTAGCTAGTTAGTTAGGTAGCCCTTTCTAACGTAAGCTTTCAGGTGTAAACTAGCAAGCTGGTTAGCTAACAATTGATGTGGTCATACATATGTTTATTTTAGCACTATCCATGTTGAGCCGATTCATCAATTTATACAAGTCCTAAAAATCATCATCAGACTAAAAGATATAATATTAATTATTGCTTTGTACCATCTCTCGTCTCGTAGATTGCTGGTCTAAAAAATGAGTGGATGTTTTCCTTTTCTCTGTTGGCCGAGGTTTCAGCACTCTGGATGGGGTAGCCAGCTCTCTTCATGCTGGCTTTGAGGGCCTTCCTCAGCCGGATCTCCTCCAGGGTGCTTACTCCAAAGTTCAGCGAGTCATCTGTCAAAGACACAACCAGACCCCATGCACACAGGGTTTGAGAGTTGTCACAAATTATGATGAATCTGGTTTCCAAAGTTTAGTCTCTGACTACAATCTCACCTGATCTGGTTAGTTTTCTAGGAGAAGGGCCAACCTTGCCATCCTCTCCCTCCTCTGAGAACTGATCTGGAAAAATAAAGACACATGAATATCCTTTCTGAAAATGAGAACTAGAAGAGACAAAGAAGTCATTTTGAGATCAAATCCAGCTCACCATCTTCATCCTCATCATCATCTGCTGGATTAATCACCACTGGTGGATGGGTGGGGCTCGGTACTGGCTCCTGAGCTTCTGTCTTGATGACACCTCTGAGCTGGGGATTGGCTGCAGTGGGGAGAGGGGCAGGTGGCGGGGGAGCCGGTTCCTCTTGCAGCTGTTCTTTGTTCTTAGTAAGACCTGGGAGGATTACATCAATTATCATTACTGTCTTTCACAGGTGGATGTCAAATTGTCTTAGACTGTTCATAATCACTTGGTGTGTTTGCTTAAACAAAGCCCACTTACTTTTATCAGCTGGGACAAACATGCCATCAATGTAACGGGGCTTGTCATGGAAGAAGGCACAGTGTGGCTTCTGGCAGCCGGCTGCTTGGTTCTCCCAATAACAAGGTATCTCCTTTCGGTTTTTCTGTTTTGATGAAAGAGATAAAACATTGCATCTCAATCAGATCTATTTACATTGAGTGTGTCCTTACACATGAAACAACAGAACTGAATCAAAAAAACGGTCTTTTCACTCTGATACACTGATCATGTTACGGTTTCTCCTAGTAAAATGTGGTATGGTGATTAAAAAAAGAAAAGACTAAAGTCTGTGGCTGGAACACATGGCACATTCATGACTTTAAACTGCAACGGTGGAGATATTATATTTGACATTATGGAGGAAGAGCCATCATCCTTATCTTTGAGGAAAGTATTTAGACACATTGCAGATATTAAAAATCTGAAAAAAGGTGAGCTTGACATGACTATACTGTGCTGTAAATCACAGATAAAGCTTATCAACAATCTACAGACATCTCAATTCTTATTTGGAGTAACATAAGTTGATATTAAAGCCAGTCTTTGTAGCATCCTGACCTGTTGGCTTGTTGTATAGTAATCTTTAAAATGCATTAAATGTTCCTCCCAACAGGTCCAGAGCCAGGAGTGGAACTCCTGGCCCAGGTTTACAGGGAGACTTTTTCTACCCTTCGGTAATGGCCATTCAAGACACACACAGCCTCGAGTGGGCAAAGCTTAAAGGAGATAGTTTCAAGTTCCTTCAGTTTCAATTTAAGCTTACGGTTATCTCCATGTGGCGAAACTTGCAGACAGTACGGAAGCAGCGTCCCTCCTGCCAGAGGTTGCAGACGGTCTCATTGCCCATAGCTGCCTCACAGTGTCTGAAGGGGCAGCTGTCACCCTGTACAATAAATGAAACCCAGTTAAGACCCGACTCTTCCCTGGGGTCACCTGGTGACTTTCCAACTGGTTACAATATGTGTAGATATGTGAGCTTTGTGCTCAACCTTTGCTTACTTTAGAGCAGGTGGAATAGTAAAAGAAGTAGCAGTCATCTCCATGGTTGGTCATAGTAATGCTGGCACACGTCTTGAGTGACAGAGGTGATGAGGTCACGACCTTTAAACCCAGCAGGTGGTTCTCTTCAGGGCCAACAGGACTCTCCCTGACAGCACAGAGCACAGCAACACATGAAAAACAGAAACCCTACTCCATTACATCACCATAAGCTTTGTAACACGTCTGCACATGTACAGCTAATACCAAGAAGTCTAATCCCCCATACCAAATATGACTTACTCCAACTTGTACATTTGGTACAATATCAAATTCATTGGAGTTTTATGCAATCTATTGTTTTGCACTCATCAATTCAAAAGTCTCATGTACAAACAATGATTACATGCAAAAATGGGGCTAGGGAAAGGGGGACTGTCATTTTAAAGGCCTCTGCACACCAACCGGACGGCCGACCGTCGGCAGAAAACAGAAAAGCATCAGACGATCAGTCGGCCTCCCGTCTCCTCGAGTGGTCAAAAAATGCCTCCGAACACACCAAACTGACGCCACTATGGAGCGTACGAGTTCTGCGTGTGCGCGAGGCGTAATACGTCCCCATAACAGCGCAGGTGCGCTAATCTGTGTTGTCGCCCAAAAAAACTGAAACCGGAAATAATGCACTCAATGACCTAGTAAACACAGAGCACGCTGTCGTCAGTCATTGTTTTCATCAGAGAGTGTTGATAGTAGTCCAAAGGATCGTTATTGTCATTACTCGCTGAACGGAAAATACGATGGCTAATAATAACAAGATACTGCCGTTGTTTACCCATCGTCACTTCCGGTTTTCTCGTGCACTCACTGATTCGCTAGTCAAGGGCGAGCCCTCACCCACAACCAGATTGGCTCATTGAGGCCAGACGGTCACTGCCGATTCTACATGTCAAATTGGCCAAAATGAAGGCCAACGCCGACTGACGACGGCACGGGACACACCGAACCGACTCCAGCCACCGACCTCGCAGCTGACTGTCCGACGGCCGATAATCGGGTTGGTGTGCGGAGGCCTTTAGGCTGCTGTGGAAATTTAAGGTGTAGTCAACCATGGCACTGTGGACAAATGCCCATGTCCTCAACGTGACCTAAGTTCGGTTGACACACAGTATAAAATTGGGGAACTGTTATTGTCTTCACAGAAAACTTAAATTTAAGTCGGGGACCGGCCTCATTTTTGAAGTCCCTACGTGCAAAGAGTAAAAATCTTCAGATTGTCTAATTTAAGACTGATTCGTCTGAGAAATGAGCAGAGAAGAAGAAAATGTGTATGGAATAATATATAAACAAATAAATAAAACAGGAAAACATGTGACGCAACTAATTATGTAACCTGCAGACTAATTTTGATTTTGTTTTAATCCACCTTTACCTGAGGTGGCTGAAAAGTTGTCTCCCTCTTGAGTGCACTGCTGGTAGGGTGTCTCCGTGGTGGTATGGAGTCCTGAAGGAACACTTGATCCATGAGATAAGAGGAAAAGGGGGGTGGGTCGCCCAGAGACACTTGTCTTCCTACGACATCCCTTTTCTGAGACTCTGAGACATCTTTATCTCCGCCAGACTGCTAAACATTACTGATGGTGGGTGCAATAGAGTCTTTTGGGGATTTTTTTTATTAATCGGTGTGACCAATGAAAGAAAGAAATAGGGTGACATAAAGAGCCAGAAAAGAAAAAAAAATAGATCCAAAAATGCTTAAACTGGCAAAAAAGGGGATAAACGTGGGATGGTGGGTGGAAAAAAATCCTCAGCTTCTTCTCGGCCTTGGAGGCATTTTGCACACTTGGTGACATTTGAGTGATGGCAGTAGGAAAAAGAAGGGCAGGATATTCAAGCTTTAGAGATATCAGCTGTTGATTACCAGTGCTGAACAGGAAAAAAAATCTTCTGCCAATGTATTCTCATTGGGGGGCAAGCTATCCATATCCAGGGAATCCCACAAAAGGGCCAAGAGGATGGATTTAAACCTACAAATCAATCAAAAACACTCCCCAGGGCACTTAAAATGGGTTATTAAGAGACAGACAGCAGTGCACAAATACAAAGGAGACAGTTGGACATTTCCACAGTACAGCATCATGAGACGAATATGCTCTCAGTAAAGACTCCGGGACAAACTACAATCTGGTTATAACAGGGGCCCATGTCAGTGGACTGACTCACTATCACTATACTATCAACCCATTTTTAAATATTTCAAGTATCTAATCCACAAAAAAAACAAACTACATTTGCTACCTTCAGGAGTCCAGACCGGGATTGTTTATTCACTCTAGACATGGAGGTTTTTGCTCGACACTGATGATCAACATGAAGAACAACCCTGGCTTCCATTTTAAGGAACAGGAAAACGCACTTACACGGAAATAACGGGATTAAAGTAACGATCCACAACTCGCATTACAAATAACGTTAAGGCAAACACGTCTAATGGGGCCGCGACCACTACAGTCGTTAAACTTGAATTAGATTATGGGTATTACATCTGAGACAGAACCGACGTTTCTTAGCAAAAACATAGGTTACAGATCACCTTTAGTGTTGCTTCGAAATATGTATGGTCAAACCAAGACAGTCAAGAAAACAATCACATACTTACGGTTTAATAAAAAGTAGCCCAAAGCTAGCCGGAGCGAACTACGAGCGATTCCCAGCAGTGATGGAACGACACTACTGTACAGAGATCAGTTAATATTAGTTGATATTAGACTGCTATCTAACGTTAAATAAACAATGGCGTGAGTTTGAACTACTGCCTGTTGACAGAATACTGTGTATTGCTAATGTTATATTCGCAACGCGTAATAAAGCTAACTATGCTCGTTGTTTAGCTTATGGTACATAACAGAGGCCTACGGAATTTCTCGCGACCTTAGCTTTAGTTAGCCAACTGTTGTTAAAACGGCTTTTTATATGTAATTACCGTGATATTCACTGTTTTATATTTTAACACTATAATGTAACAACCAAATATATTGTGTGAACAAGATATGCAGTGTTAATTACCAGTTTCAGATTTAAAAAGAGTTAAAAATTGTGTAGAGAAAGACTCCGTCCCGGTTCGTTGACTGCCGCAGCCGCACTGATGCAAAATGGCGGCAGCGCGATAAAAATACGAGGGTGGGCCACACTGTGACTGTGCTGCGTTCGCGTCGAATGGAAATATTGTAAATTCGAATACTCTTCTGTACTTAAAATAGACACCCGTGCTCTCATGCTGTGTGCCACTTGTTTACTTCTATTTCACTACAGTCCATAGGGAAATATGTACTGTTTAGTTTAAACGACCAGATACAAAATTATATTCAGAAGATACTGCATTAACAAAACATATATACAGTCTTTTTTTTACTGTTGATACTCTAACTACATTTTGCTGACAAAACTTGAATGCAAGAGTTTATGAATATCTCTTCCGCCACTGGTTTTGTTGTGCTGCTTGATGTTGGTTGAGTAATAACTGACTAATAGAAGAGCTAGATTAATTGATATTAACGGTATAATATATAATATTTCCACAAGGGGGGCGTTGTGAGCTGCTTTTTCATATTGCTGATATGCCTGAATACTGCATTTGTGGAATGGACTGAAATGATCTCTATCATTTGTAAATTTACATTTCTTAAGTATGCCCATTGGAGCCAAGTTTGGTAGTCCCTCCATTTATGCAGCACTACTATACTGCTTATGTTAATGAAAAATCACATAAAAAAATTTCAAATATTAATTTTATTTAACTATTTAGTTTGTTAAACGTTTTTATTACAGTGCTTTGAACATTATACAGCATTCGCAAATCCCCACCAAAGGTGACGTCCTTTATTGGTCAAATTTTCAGGATGTTAATAATAATACCAATAATAATAACAACAACAGCAACAATAATAATCATAATAATAACACCTTCAACAATAGTTGTACCTAATATTTGTGCAATTATAATGAATTACAAAAATTAATCCAAGGATGTGATTGGATTGTTGGATTTCAAATGAACAGGGGAAAGAGAGCAAAAGTGATATAATATATCTTATTTAATTATTTTTATTTATTTTTTTTACATTTGTTAGTAATTAGTTACGCTACTGGGGGAAAGTCATATTATTACTGTCATATTATTATTACTACTGAGTTACTGCTCAACACTGCAAATGATTATGATGGCCGAACGCACACATACTATTCTGTTGTTCATCAGACAGATTTGTACTTATTCTCCATCCCCGAGGTGGAATAAATTAAAAAAATATTTTGTAGTTGAAGTGGCCCAACAATATAAACAAAAGTTACACGCTTTAAAACATTTACACGTTTTGGTTATTTTGAAAAGTAATAAGCGGAAGTGGTGTAGATTTTATTTTGGTAGGCGGTTCAGTGTACAGCGGTTCAGCGGTACGGGGTTTGACAGTAGTCTTATCAGTTGTCTGTCTGTTACTCTCGCGCTGACAGTCAGTAGCAGTGTATCGCTTCCCACCTCTCGAATGCAAACTTAGTATAACTTTAAGTTAGCTTTCCAACCAAACTGACGAATTTAAGAGCGAAACACAAACTGTTTTCCCGCCGTCGCTCGTCTCAATGGACACTGTTCAGGTAGGTGAGTTAGCCAGAATGACAAGAGTTAGCGTTAGCATGTGGCTAGCACGGGTTGCTAACAAGGGCAGGGCCAGTTAGCCACAAGGTGATAAACAGGTAACGATACAGCGTTAGTAGTGCTAATATAAACGCTTATTCGTTTACACCTGGCTAACTAGCCACATGTTTGTGTGTCGTCTTTTTACATCTTGTTTGTTATCCGCAGAAACTGATGTCTGGATTTTCTCTGGACCTGGGACCATTAAAGGAACCTCTTGGATTTATTCGTGTCCTAGAATGGGTAAGTAAAGTCCGAAAGTACTTTAAAAGGTCTCCAAAATAGATCCCAGACCACGTTAATGTTAGTGACAACTTATAATATGTGTTCATCCAGCTCAGTGTTCCTCTCATTTAATCCTCGTGATGTTAATATTCCCTAGTTGTCCATTCACTAACTCAATGTAACAGTTACCGAACACCGTGCAAGTGCCCTTCACTGTATGTTCGCAACATACTGTACTAACACAGACCAAAGTGTAAAGGCTGAGAGAACCCTTTAAACGGTCGCACGGTTCTCTGTCTCTGCTTTGTTCCTTTGTAACTTTGCAGTCTTGGCTTTTGACCTGTTAAGATTGTGCCACAGTTTGTGGATTTACAATGCATGTAGCTACTGATTTCTCAAGTGAAACCTAAATGAGGATGTCAACATTCTGCTGTAAACCCTTACGCTGAGTCTGTGCCCATTTGACCCACCTCTGTGTGGCTGTAAGGAAGGCCAGCTGTCGAGAATCTAATAGCCTGGAAACGTATGTTACTGCTAAGTAGATGCTTCATGCATGCTGTAAATATCACTACTGTGTGCATCTGTGTGTTTGACTTCTTGTTGAGTAATCTGAATGGATCGTATACTAAAAAAAGCAATCAGTCCAGGAATGCCCCCTCCCATGTGTCTGCTAATGTTCATAGTGCTCTGTATTTCTGGTAGATGTAGACTACTGTGCTAACAACAGTGCTGTGTATATTTAAGGCGTGGGCTTGTGCAACTGCCATGTCCTATTAGCAATTAGCATATACAGCAGGTAGTATCTGCTGTATATGAGTTTGACTCCAGGAAGGTTACTTAAAAAGCCCACCTTTTTTATTCTGTTATTAAAGCAAACAACAGTTTGAGAAAACATATTGATGTACAGATTAATTGCATGGAAGAAAAAGAAATACCCCTAGTGTGTAAAGCCGTTTAGGTCTATCAGCGGGTCCACAGTTCTACATGACACGCCCTCGACATGGTCACAGTTTGGTTAGGTTTAGGCAAAAGAAAACCTCCTGCTTTAGGAATTTAAAGATAGATAGACAACTTTTCAATTAACATATTTAATCCAATAAGTTATTTTAGTGGGTTTGTTGTGTAGTGTGAGCCTGCAGATAGACCTGTCTCACAATACCAGGACCTCCTTATAGCGCAATGCAGCCATCATTAATGTTATTATGTTGTGTTACTGTCTTTTCTGTTATAACATGCCAAAATGTCATAAAAACCCCAATCAGTATAATGATTGCCAAAAGCAGCAGAATTATCTTTGTAGTTTTCATTTGGTTTATTTGCTTGTAGATTAGAGAATTAAAGGATTCAAGGTTAATTTATTGCTCCCGCTTCCCAGGAAACTAAGTGTAAATCCTGCTGGCTGCTGTAGTGTAGCATTCTCTGACCATCTCCCTGGGGAATGGGGCTGCAGTGGTATAAGAATACAGCACACTTACCATTTGGGTAAATCAGCATACATGCACTACATTGTGTAAAAACAGACAAAAGGACATATTTCTACCATTTACCCTCCATTTTTTATTAAATGATGCAAAGCACTGTATTGGTGATGGGTTGGCCACACTAGTTGAATTCTTGAGCAAACTGCAGCCACAGTCATGGTTCAATGCTCAGGTTTACATGCTGACTACAAAAACACTATCCTGACTCTGCTAGCGTCGCTCCAAAAATACTTGGCAGGTGATTGGATTAACCATCTGTCTATCACTGTCTATCACGGCCAGATTTCAACCAATCAGATCAAAACCGATGTTGATACAATATCTCAGTTTTGGTACCAATACCAGAATAACTCTAGCCTTGTTGGAAACTTAATTAAAGACATCTTTTTGTACAAATTCTTTTTTTTCCATTTGACAAAAAAAGTAAACTTTTCTGAAATTGGCAAAATTATGATTTCAATCTCTTCCATACCAGCCTTCGGTACGTGGCAGTTATACATACTGTATCAATGCTGTGGACACATTTTGGTCAAAGAAGTATTAGTAAGTAGTAGAGTTTGATACATAGCCATAGTAAAAAACAAACTTTGGTCTTGGCCGGTAGTTTACCATCTATGATTTGTCCAAAATATCCCAATTTGTGATTATGCCAATACATTTTCTTCTCTAGTTTCTTTCTGTTTCAGTGTATCCCTCTATGTGCTGACAGTTGTTGGTCTGAGTCTTGTGACTGAACAGGGCTGCTGCTGTCTGTGGAAATGTGGCTGTCGCTTTGATGGCTCTGCTTTTTGAGTTTGTCTCCTTTATGATAGTCACTGAGCTTTTAAATCTGAATTTCGTTGTTGCTCTGAGTTTTCAGTTTCTCCAGGCAGCTCAGCAAAATCAGTTTGTTGTCAGTCTGCTTCAGTCTCAGACATTCTTCCAGGGCAAGGCATTCTTAGCATTCGCTGGGAGAAACAGTTTGCCTTCCTCCTGTGTGTTCTTGGAAGATGTTTATAAGTGATATTACTGGATGTAAACTGGCCTGTATGCTACAGCCTGTAAACATGGACACTAGCCAGTAACAACAGTTTTTCACAGTGTCAGGTGGAGGGTGGTCACCACTAAGGGACGTGGTGGGCCTGCTATTTTTGTAATCATGACATGCTGGATGTGTTTTGGGGTAAGTATTGCTATATGTCCATGTGATGTGCTTTATACAAATAAAGATTGTTATAGTGCTGGGCTGTATGACCAACAATTAATATCACTGATTTTTTTAGCATGACTGTGCCTTTATATAGCTATAGTGGCTTATTGTACTTTCTCTTTTTTTACTTATATTGCACAAGAAACAAATTAGTTATAGCAGTTGTCTCAGCTTTGCAACAGTATGGCAGTACATGCAAAATTCATCATATGGGAAATTAAAACCGGTGTACCAGTTAACCAGTATATTGCCCAGCACTAGGTTGTTGTATAAAAAGCTAAACTGCTAGTGTCAGAACCTTGTGACTGGCTGCTCCTGTCTCTTATCGGCCCAGCCACTCCCCGGTCAGGAGACGTAGTGAGGAATGCATCGGTCAGTCTGTGGGAGGCTGGGTGGGACCTT